CCCCTCCCCGATCCTAAACACCACAGGCTGATGGATGGTTGAGCAATGAGGGGTTGGGGGGTGGAAGGTTTGTATTAGGATTTTCAAGTGGAGAAACTGAGGCTGGGCCCAAGCTAACGGTGTTAACAGCAGATTTCGCCCACCCCCCCTCACCTGATGCCTCCGAATTGACCTTTTTCTCTGGATTCCACTGTTCTCCGGGAGGCTGCTGCTCCTTCGGTGGGGTCCTCCTGCGTGAGAGACATGTAAACACCACAGAGGATGTTTTAATTTCAGGGCAGCCAGCTTCTCTTCCTTCTAAGATGAAACGCAAGAAAGTTTGAAAGACGTTTTCAAACCGTCCCTCAATGTGGCACCTGAACTGATTATAGATGCCTTTTTTAAAAAAATGTCCAGCCGGGACCGGTTTGGCTCAATGGATAGAGCGTCGGCTTGGGGACTGAAGGGTCCCGGGTTCGATTCCGGTCAAGGGCATGTACCTTGGTTGCGGGCATGTCCCCAGTAGGGGGTGTGCAAGAGGCAGCTGATCGATGACTCTCTCTCATCGATGTTTCTAACTCTCTATCTCTCTCACTTCCTCTCTGTATGAAATCAATAAAATACATTTTAAAAAAAAATAAAATAAAAAAATGTCCAAATTAAACATAGGCATCCAAGCGAGAAGGCAGGCCCCAGCCCAGAGCCTGCGGCCGTGGCCATGGTTTCCTACAACCAGCCCTCGCTGGGCCTAATGGATACTTCCGGGAGATGAAAGTGCGGAGGGGGAACCGGGGCAGGAACCGGAGGCCGCTCTGGGACGCCCTTGGCAGCGGACGGCAGACCCGGGTCCCGTGTTCTGTCATTAGGAGTAGCTGCGCATGGGCGAGGATGTCACATCCCAGTCCTTCCCCCATAGTGCAACGCTGTGATTCTCAGCGCAGGGCCCCAGGCCAGCAACATCCGCCCCTCCCTCTTCCCCCCAACCCCCCTAGGGGATGTGCTCCCCTCAAGTCCAAGTTCACACGTTGACGTCCCATCCCCCAGCCTCTTCTAATGTAACTGGATTTGAAGACAGAGCCTTCACAGGGGTGATTAAATTGAGCCCATCTAAGGCGGACCCTAATCCGGTAGGACCGGTTTGGCTCAGTGGATAGAGAGCATCGGCCTGCTGACTGAAAGGTCCCAGGTTCGATTCCAGTCAAGGGCATGTACCTTAGTTTCAGGCACATCCCCAGTGCGGGGTGTGCAGGAGGCAGCTGATCGATGTTTCTCTCTCATTGATGTTTATTACTCTATCCTTCTCTCTTCCTCTCTGTAAAAAATCAATAAAATATATTTAAAAAAAAAAAAAAAAAAAGACCCAGAAGAAGAAAAAAGAAGAGGAAGGGACAGCCAGGTGATGAGCAACAAGAAGGCAGACATATACTGAGTGGCCAGATTATTGTGATCTTTGTTATGCATAATAATTTGACCACTCAGTGTGTGTTTATATATATATATATATTAGAAGCCTGGTGCATGAATTTGTGCATGGGTGGGGTCAGGCCAGCCTGGCCAAGAGGAGGGGACATGGGCAGTTGGCCGGCCGGCCTGCCTGCTGGTCGAACTCCTGGTCGAGGGGACAATTTGCATATTAGCCTTTTATTATGTAGGATATGCACTGAGTGGCCAGATTATAATGCGTTCAGGGATCATCATAATCTGGCCACTCAGTGTATGCAAGGCAAGGAGAGAGGCCACCCCTGCCCGCTCCTCCATGACTGTGAGAAGTAAGTTTCTGCTGTGCCGCACACCCAGTGTGTGTGTCACTCTGATATGGCAGCCCGAGCAAACGGGTGCACTCGGGAACGAGCTAGAAATGCCAGTTCTCAGGCCCAGCCCTGACCTCCCACATCGGCAGCTGCATGCTCACACGGTGATGTCCACGTGGGCTGGTGGCTGAGAACCATGGACATGAAGTATTAATAGTTGGTGGTAACCAGCCCCCCCAAAATGGCATGTGGTTGGAAACGTGGTCTGGTGTGTTAAATATATAAACCTTCTTTTAGTAGGCGCTGGAGAAGTTCCAGCGGGCTCTTTAATGAGATGGTGTATGCGGAAGTGTTCTGTAAGTGCTAGAACATTCTGTGGACTTTAGGTGGTGGTGAAGAGTAACCATGGGATTCAGTCAGCTGGGGCATGCAACCCTCCTAACACTCTAAAGTGAGAAAATGGGCCAAAACCGGTTTGGCTCAGTGGTAGAACGTCGGTCTGTGGACTGAAAGGTCCCAGGTTCGATTCCGGTCAATGGCATGTACCTTGATTGTGGGCACATTCCCAGTAGGGGGTGTGCAAAAGATAGCTGGTCAATGTTTCTTTCTCATCAACGTTTCTAACTCTCTCCCTTCCTCTCTGTAAAAAATCAATAAAATATATTTTAAAATAAATAAATAATAAAGTGAGAAAATGGAATCCAAGAGCCTCCCTCGATGACTGGAATTTCTGAGTCACTTAAAAATCTCGTCCATTTTCCGCCCCAAGCATTTGGAATGCCGCTCCTTTCTAAGCACACCAAAAAAAACACACACCAAGATTTAATCACATTTCCCTTTTTGCTCTTGCTACTAGGAAGCCCACAACTGAGTGAGATCTTTAAGCACAGCCCATGTAGTTAGTATATATCTATATTTTTTTCCTATTTCAGTTTTATACTGCATCTATATCCTTCGTGGTGGCTTCAAATACCTTTAGGGAGAAAAAAAAGGAGAGGGGAAGGGAGTGAAAGAAGAAAGAGCTTCCTCTCACAGCTCAGATAGTTTCCAGATCAACAATCTTCTGCTGAGTGAATTGGTAAAACTTGGCTGGGAAAGACAGATGTTCTCTTTCAGTGACAAGGGAGCAAACTGTCCATCAGCAAGTCCTCTTCATGCCCTTGTCTTCTTGTTGCCCCCTCCCTGGGTGATACTGAGGGGACGTGTCCATTGCTGGAGTTACTGCCCTCACTGGAGCTCTTGTGAGCCCTGCTTGGGGACGAGTGTGGAAGTGACAGGGCCGGATTCGCATGTCTTTAAGGTTAGAAATCGCTGTTTGCCTGTGGTTTTCAACCCGTGAGCCAAAAGAATTTTTACCGCACACAACACCTGACTATTTAGTCAGGGCACTGACCTCTTTTCCCTTAGATCCGTGGTCGGCAAACCGCGGCTCCCAAGCCACATGCGGCTCGTTGGCCCCTTGAGTGTGGCTCTTCCACAAAATACCACGTACCCTAACTAAGTTAATAACAATGGACCTACCTATATGGTTTAAGTTTTAAAAAAATTGGGCTCTCCAAAGCAATTTCAATTGTTGTCCTGTTGATATTTGGCTCTGTTGACTGATGTGTTTGCCCACCATTGTCTTAAGATTGTCAAGTTAAAAAAAAAAAAAAAAGACAACAGCCAACACAACAATAGCCATCCGGTGTGGATTAATCAAAATGATACCTATTTTTTGGTCGGGTCAGCAAATCACCTATTTCTTGGTGTGCCTCAGAATTACAGTAATTAGTTTATGTGTGCCATGAATGAAAAAAAGGTTGAAAATTGCCATTGGGGTCATCAGAAATGGGCAGAGACAGAAAGTAGACAGAGGAGGGTCTGTAGCGGGTCAAGAGCAGGCGGTGTTACAGGGACTGGGTTTTACAGGAACTGGAAATGAGAAGCGGTGGGGAAACTGAGTCCTCGTGCGCACGGAGGAATGAGTATCAGGTGGCCGGGAACCTGCCCCCGGCAGACAGCGAGTGGCAGACAGCGAGTGCCCGACCTGTTTTCAGCAGGACTTCGGTTCCAGTAAAACCACATCGTCCGTCCATTAATATATCTGTTCCCATGTTCCCATTTGTGTGGGTCACGTATTCCTATCTTTACATTTGTGCATATTTTAAGTAACGTATTTTTTTTTATAATATATTTTATTGAGTTCTCACAGAGAGAAAGGGAGAGGGATAGAGAGCTAAAAACGTCGATGAGAGAGAAACATCGATCAGCTGCCTCCTGCTCACCCCCTACTGGGGATGTGCCTGCAACCAAAACACATGCCTTTGACCGGAATCGAACCTGGGACCCCCTCAGTCCGCAGGCCGACGCTCTAACCACTGAGCCAAGCCCGTTTTGGCAGTAACATTGTAAAAATTTTTTTAATACGTTAAATCAACACCCATCTGTATTTATTTTAAAATAAAAAGTTTTACAAAAAAAAAGTTTATCCAAAACATTCAACACCGGAGGCCCGGGTGGACTTCCTCCCCCTCGAAGGGGCCTGGCTATGAAGATGCCATTGAGAAGGGGCTGCTCTCTCTCCACTCTGGCCCCCGAGTCCTCGGGGAAACGGTGCGTGCCTGGCGGCTACAGGTGTGCCGTTCGCCGCCCCAGCTGGCGCGGAGGAGGAGGAAATGGAAGAGGGAGGAACCTCAGGTACCACGTCACGAAGCCCCTCGGAGTTCTTTTCCGCCTCTACGATGGGGCGTAAGGCGATGGCTGCTGTCCCTTCCATGCTGCATGGCTTGGTGGTCCTGACTGCGGTGTTAACTGACACGCGGCCTCCCCGGGGACGCGGGAGGCACAGAGAATTGTCTCCCTCTGAAAGGAGCTGGGGGAAAGGGTGCTGGGCGGGAGGGGTGCTGGGTCCCCCGTTTCTCCACTCTGTTAATAATGCATTGCCTTCAGAACTGTCCGTCGCATTTCAAGTGGGCAAAATGGATGGGCCCTTCTTCCTTCCCGGCCCTCCTCGTCCCTTTAGGACGATGGGCTGTTTTGTGTTCAGTGGCATGAACGTTCTTCTCCGGGTGAGGGGGAGATCGGCTAAGAAGTCCAGGTGTGCAAAGGTCATCGTTTCAATATATTTTTTTTTTTTAAAAAATAGGGGCCAGCGACAGGGCCACCCAGTGGTCCGCCCGCCGTCTCCGTGGCCTGCTCCGGCCGCCACGGCGACGCACGTGGCCCCGTGCACCTACCAATCCCGCCCGGGTACTGACCCCTCCGCCCCCTCTTGTGTCCCCTCTGCAGCTCGAGCTGTCCAGCACGGCCGTCCTGCACCAGATGCGGCGGGACCAGGTGGCGGACGCCTGCCGGGCCAGCAGCGCGGCCAGCCGCAAGCGGCGCGTGCTCACGCCCAGCGACCTGAAGCACCTGGTGGTGGACGAGGACCACGGGCTCATCTACTGCTACGTGCCCAAGGTGGCCTGCACCAACTGGAAGCGCCTCATGATGGTGCTGACGGGCCGGGGCAAGTACAGCGACCCCATGGAGATCCCGGCCAGCGAGGCGCACGTGGCGGCCAACCTCAAGACGCTCAACCAGTACAGCATCCCCGAGATCAACCACCGCCTCAAGCGCTACCTGAAGTTCCTGTTCGTGCGGGAGCCCTTCGAGCGGCTGGTGTCGGCCTACCGCAACAAGTTCACGCAGAAGTACAACACGTCCTTCCACAAGCGCTACGGCACCAAGATCATCCGGCGGCAGCGCCGCAACGCCACGCAGGAGGCCCTGCGCCGCGGCGACGACGTGCGCTTCGAGGAGTTCGTGGCCTACCTCGTGGACCCGCACACGCGGCGCGAGGAGCCCTTCAACGAGCACTGGCAGACCGTGCACTCGCTCTGCCACCCGTGCCACATCCGCTACGACCTCGTGGGCAAGTACGAGACGCTGGAGGAGGACTCCAACCTCGTGCTGCGGCTCGCCGGCGTCGGGGGCGCCCTCCGCTTCCCCACCTACGCCAAGTCCACGCGGACTACGGACGAGATGACCACCGAGTTCTTCCAGAACATCAGCGCCGAGCACCAGGCGCAGCTGTACGACGTCTACAAGCTCGACTTTCTGATGTTCAACTACTCAGTGCCAAGCTACCTGAAACTGGAATAGAGGGGAAGAGGGTGGGGAAGGGGAGGTGGGAAGGGGATGTGGGGGGGGGGTCAGGCGGGTGGAGGGGAGAGGCGTGGGGGGGGGGTGGAGGGGAGACGCGGGAGAGAAGCGTTGCTTTTTAATTTAAGATTTTTTTATTTGTCAAAAAGAATTATATGCATATGGGGTTATTTTGTAAAGTAATATTTCTTTCGGGGGATGATTGCTGCGAGCAGCATAAAGTGTGAGAGTTATTTAAAATCCTTTGGGAAGGGGGGAGGACGGCCGTCTTGGCAGGGAGAATTGGGTTGGGGGGAGGGGGGGGTCCTTGTTTTGGTGTTTTTTTTGTGTTTGGTTTTTTTTTTTTGTTTTTTTTTAAGACCTGAGTACTGTCTCCAAGGTTTCCTTGTGTTCCGGGGAATTCCACAAACTGTGCATTCCAGACGTTCTAATGAATGTTATTTATAGTTATTTAAACGTACGTGTCTGTACAGGTTTCTTGGTGTGGCAGCATTTAAGAGATCTGTTGTTCCGTCCTGCGCTTGCTCTCCTCGCGCATGCGGGGGTGTGGATGCTCTCACTCGCCGCTCACAGACTCCCCGTGTGATCAGAGCCATTGGGACGGGTGTAGATGCCACCCTGCTGGACATTCTGCCGGAAATAAACCGAAAGAGAGGCACCTTTGCAAGGGACGAATTCCACACCGATTTTCCGTCAACCCCAAAGTCCCTTGCCCTAAAGAAATGTGATGTTTTTAAAAATATATTTTATTGATTTTTCACAGAGAGGAAGGGAGAGGGATAGAGAGCTAGAGAGAGATACATCGACCAGCTGCCTCCTGCACACCTCTCACCGGGGATGTGCCCACAACCAATGTACATGCCCTTGGCCAGAATCGAACCTGGGACCCTTGAGTCTGCAGACTGACGCTCTATCTACTGAGCCAAACCGGTTTCGGCTGTGATTTTTTTTTTTTTTAACCCAAGGAGAGAGCTGATTGTAGCTCCCCACCCCACCCCCCTCCAACCCCCTGCCACCAGAATTAATACTCTGATAGAATAAGCTTTTCTAAAGAAATTTCTAACTGGCAGTGCCAGTGGTGATGAAGAGGAGATGGCTGTTGCTTCATAGTCAGCAAGTATTTATTGAGCAGCTACTATGTGCTGGGCCTCGTTCCAGGCCCTGCAGAGAGAGCATTGAACAAAACTGGTAGTCTCAGCCCTCAAGAAGCTTTACATGGACACCAGGTATCCAGCTCAACAATTAGCAAACCTCCGATATCTTGGGCTGTTTAAAAGCAGGTCCATGATTCCTATACATTTGCATTTTTCTATGATCCAAATTTGAAAGCCACATGCTTGCAGCAGGCCCCCAAACATAGTGCGTCATCCACGCTCAAGGCCCCACACCATAGATGGCAAAAGCACTTCCTATCCTGTGCCTGCTCTAATGTATAGGTAGTGTCCACTCTTAACCCCAGAACAGATTTGCCAGGCACTGCTCGGAAGCGTGCGGGGATCGATTAGTGATGTCTGCTCTGGGTGAGGGAAGGGGAGCTTCAGCTGCTCCCGTGCTGCCTCCTGTCACCTCCAACCCAGCACCCATGTCTCCATGTTGTTTTCTGTTCCTGCCGCACAATACCCTGGCAGGATTCTGGCGTTTCTACCCCTCATGAAGAACTCATGAAGGTTAGGGGTGGACTCTTGGTACACATCTGTGCCCTCTCTCGAGTCATCCCAAGGCTAAGAGGCCATCAGCACCTGTGTGATCGCCAAGCACGAGCAGCAAGGACAGCCTCCCACGACGGTCATTCATGCCCCTTTCCTCCGAAAGGCTGGAAACGCCCACTTCCTGTTCTTGGCTAATGACCACCTGCTCACGCCCCTCACCTGCAGCCGCTTTCCACGTCTTGGTTGAAATTGGAGCCACACCTCTCTTACAGCTAGTGAATGAGTTGGTAGCCGATACTGTACATAATAATAATAATAATAGTTCTAATAATAGGGGATGGATGGACTGGGATGTAAGTTTTGCTTTTTTTTTTTTTTTTTTTTTGGATGCAGCCTATAGCCAAGACTATTCTAAAACAAAAAAAATGAATAATTTATTCACAGAAACTTATTAAAATTGTATGCTAAAGCTCGGAGCCAGCTCAGTGAGCAGCAGCTGCCACAGCTCAGCGAGGAAATTATTTTATTGAATGTGAGTGAGGTGTGCCCGGGAAGAAGTGGCCGGAGCTATTTATAAACGCTGTGCACCTTCTTCCCTCACGGAAGGGCACAGTGACTCTACCCTGGATGGACAGAGATGGATGCAACCCGTTTCCCCCGCAGAGCGGCCGTCTCCGGCGGGCCCTGGAACCGGGACTCCGGACTCCATTTCCCGCTGAGGAAACTCTTCTCCTCAGAGACAGGGCTTCTGCGGGTCAAACAGGTTGTCCAGCGTTTTAAAATGTGTGCCCTACAGAACACAGGTCCCAGGGAGTGTCAAGTTCACGGGACGCCAACTAAGAGCTCTGTGGTCACACGTCCTTGGCAAATGAAGTCAGGTCAGTTTTCTTTCTGCGGGCCTTTTCAGAGCCTTGAATGTGTGCTGCGCATTGAGAATCCCAAGAGGATCGTTGCGTCAGCAGCATTTCCTGAACGGACAGGACCAGCGTGCTCTTATTTTGCAGATCATCTCCCAGAGCTAGCGCCCCGCAGGGCATACTTTGGTTAGGTTGATTTAGCCCTAAATGATTTCGTTCTTCCAGGATAAGAACTGCCTCTCCTTAAACCCTCTCCAAAAACCAGACACAAAAATCAAAAAACGACACCACAGTGTCCAAGCAACAGAGGTACCTTATCAAACGAATTCCACTTTTCCTTACGTGCAGTGGTTCTTCATCCCTCCCAAGCCAGTGGAGGGGAGTTTTGGGTGGAAAGGACAGAAGGGGGTGGGGGGGTGTAAGGCCAAAGGGGTCCCCCTATGCCTCAAGCCTTAGGCTGCTCAAGGCAAGCGGAGTGAGCTCCACTCTTGATGTGTGCTTCTTCAGTTCCATAGGATGGAATTACTCGCTGTGTGTTCTTTGGTTTCTAAGTGGGAAGTCACTTAGAAACTGTCCTGAGTTTCGCATTTCCGTGCCTGCCTTTGATCCGCCGTGTGCACGAGCTCGGTGCTGTGTGCAGACCACCTTCTGTCATCCGCTCTCTCTACAGTGAGAAAGATTGTCCCCCGGGGGATGACGCCTCCTAGGGTTCTGCAGCGACTCTTTCGCCTTGCGTCCTTCTGTCTTCAGGTTCCATTCTCTAATGATAAACATTTTTTTTTTAGTTGATACAACTGTTTTTTTGCCGAATGTAGAAAATAGTGTGTCCTTGGTTCAAAAAGAACTCATGGTTAACAATGTGCCTGGAAAACAGAACTTTGTGGGGTTTTGTTTAGAGAGAACTGTGAGAAATGCTTTCTGGAGCGTGCTTCGCTGGAGAGAAGTACAGGCAGGAGTCCCACCTCCGAGCCACTTTTCAAGGGTCCCCCCGTGTATGCAAAACCAGGGGCCGTCAGGGCCGTGCTTACAAGGACATTCCTGCTGACTTGTTAGCCACAGCGCTGGAATCCCTGCATCTTCTCTGAAACCCGCCCCCCTGCCTCCCCAGCTGGTCTGGGAAGAAGGCCATTCTGCTGACCCCGGTGTCTCTGAGGGGGACCTTCCTTCCTTTCCTCCTACCTGTCCAGCAGGTGAGCGTCACCGTCCTGCTTGCTCAGGACCCGGATGCCACAGGAGAGCAATGGGCAGTGGAAAATCCAGTCAGACCAGTCCTCCTAATGGCAAAGGCCTGGAAGCCCAGGGTCTGAATCCTGCCCATAGAAGGTTCCCTTAACCAAGCCAGCAAATCCCCTAACTTAGCTGGTGGGGTCTGGACTAATGCTGGGCTTAAAGCCAGTACCTAGCCCACTTAGTTGGTGGGGCCTGGTGATTGCAAAAGTCCCTGTTCTAACCTGGTAAGAAGCCGGGGGACTCTGTCCCAGTGGGTGGTGCTCAGAGCACATCTCTCAGCCCAGTCCTTCCCCATGCACACACATGCACGCATGTGCACACATATGCACACACACACACACATACACAGATACGCGTGCATGCACACACAGTCCTGGGGAGCAGAATCCCTCCCTTGCCCACTCCTATGTCAGCAGGACTGACCTCCCCACTCCCCACGTTCCTACATTTCCTCCAGCCTTTTCCCCTCACAGCCAGCTGGACCCTATGAACAGGCAACAGGACCTTCTACAGCCAGCTTGCCTGCTGGCCGTCAAAAGGCGCATTGCCGTCTGCTACTCTGTCAGGTACGGAAGGGGCTGCCCGTACTGTTTTCTTAGGAGCATGCTCCGTACGGCATACGGACATATAATTTAACATCTCTGTGGAGTGTGACTTTTTTTTCCCTACATATTTGTATGCAGTAGAGGGCTTGTTGTAGAAAACTCTCCCTGTATCTTCCTGTACTGTTCGAGAAAGCTGAATTCCACATTGCCAACAGAAGCGTGAAATGTTCCTGAACCTTCCTTCGGGAAAAGCCATTCAAGCCTGATTATTTTTCTAAGTAACTTCAATTAAATTGAAGAGAAAAAGAAGCTTCTCTCTGTGTGTATGGTTTGTTCATGGCTCACTGGCAGACGACGGGCGGGGTGGGGTGGGCTGTGTTACTTTGCCGGGGTGCCGCAGAGAACGGAGAAAGTCCAGGATGCAGACCCCAGTCTTGGCCAAGGCAAAGACCACCATCAATCCAGAACTTTCCTGTTTAGTGGACGAATACGAGCTTGCTTTATTCTGTCTTGTCTAGAAACTCTTTGTAGACTATGGGATAGAAGAACTGCCATGACCACACAGGCCTACCAGCCACGTGAAAAATAAGGAAACAGCCCTGGCTGGTGTGGCTCAGTTGGTTGGATGTCGCCCCACACACTAGGAGGTTACCAGTTCAATTCCTGGTCAGGGCACATGCCTGGGTTGCAGGCTTGATCCCCAGTAAGGGGATGCAGGA